TGGAGAAGAATGTGTATTCTGGTGTTGTGAGGTGGAACACTCTGTAGATACCTACTAAGTCCCATTGTTCAAAGGTTGGGTTCAGCTCTGATATTTCTTTGTTGATTTTTTTTGGTCTCAGTCTGTTTGTGACACTGGACTATCAAGGTCACCCATTACAATTGTACTAGTGCTTATTGGATTTTTCATGTCCATTAATGTTTGTTTTGTGTAAGTGGGTGCTCTAGTATTAGGTGCATATATATTTACAATTGTTATCTCTTCCTCTTGGATTGTTCCCTTGACAAGTACATAGTGACCTTATTTGTATTTAGTGACCAGCCTTGGCTAGAAATACACTTTGTCACAAATAGAAGAGCTATCCCCTGCTTTTTTTCTGGGTTCCTGTTGCATGAAGTATTGTTTTCCATCTTTTGACTTTCAGTCTATGAATTTCTTTTTGAATGCAGCATATTGTTGGATTTTACTTGTTGATCCGTTCTGCCAGTCTGTTTCTTTTGATTGGTGAATTGAGACCATTTATATTGTTGGTTATAACTGATATATATTGACTTATTCTTATAGTGTTATTTTCCTATTGTTGGTCTCTCCCCTGCTTTCACTCTGTGTGATTGCTTGCCTTGCATGATGGATTTATTCTTTGGGGATCATGGAGTTGTAGTCCTCCTTATCTCTTTCTAGAATGTCCTCCAGAATACTTCGGAGTGCTGATTTGATGATCATGAATTTCTTCAAGTGGAAGTATCTTATTTCTCCATCAATTTTAAAAGATAATTTTGTGAGATACATCATTTGGGTTGGAGGTTGTTTTCTTTTAGGCTTGAAATACTTCACTCCAAGTATCCTTCACTTAAGTGTTTATGTTGAGAAGTGTGCTGTGATTCTGATGGTCTTTCTTTTATAGTTGATTTCCTTCTTTTCTGTAGCAGTCATTAATGTTATATTCTTGTGTTAAATTTCTGGAATCTTAACTATTATATGTGTTTTTTTTCTGATCATAGCTAATTGGAATTCTCTATGCCTCACTTACTGTATGTCAAATTCTTTTGCTATGCTTGGGAAGTTTTCTGCCATTACTTCTGGAAACAGGTTTTTTAATGTCCTTTGTGCTGTCTCCCGGTTTTTTTAAAATTGATTCTGATCAATCTTATGCTATTCTCCCTTTTATTATCTAGCAGATTGGATTGATTTTTCATGGTCCCTTGCTATTTTTAAAAAGTCTTTCATTTAAAGATTGCTAACTGTAAACCTGTCTCCTAGGTCTGATATTTTCCCCTCACATTCATTGATTCTGCTGCATATACTTTCAGTACAATTTTTTTTTTCTGGAAATAGGGTCTTGCTTTGTAGATCAGTGTGAATTTCTGCTTATATAGCTAGCCCATGCTGGCCTCAAACTCATGACAATCCTCCTGCCTGAGCCTTCCAAGTGCTGGAATTACAGATATGTGTCGCGATGCCTGGCTTCAATAAAATTTTTTATCCTCTGGATATCTGTTTGACTGTTTGAAGGTATCCAGTTTTTTCCTATGTTGGGCATTCATGGTCTCCCATCACTTTCCTAAGATTGTCTTTTTTTTAAAAATCTGTATCTACTCTAGATTCACTAGCTATGTCCTTCTTTATGGTTATCATCTCCTTAGTTTTGTGTGAAATTTTTTGGATTTATTGTATTCTAGAGCCTCATTCATCTGGTTTGTTACTTCCACTGCACCTATTTTAGGAAGTTCAGCTGGGTGGCTTTTTTGATTTCTCCCACACAAATGCACCCTGGATTTGCTTTAGGCAAGCTGGAGTTCTAAGGTTACATCTTGCTTCCATGTCTTCTCATTTTCTGTTTTTTAAAATTTGTTTTCTGCCTTGATGCTTGTAAATTGCTTATGTAAGTAACTTTATTACTCTTATCAAGACTTCCTTAGGAAATGCCTACTTTTCAGAGATAATGTCTAGGGGTAGCTGGCTTTTGACTTTTGAGTCTGTCCCAAGATCCTACCTCTCCAATTTATTAGCATTTGGTCCAGCTCCCAGTTCTTTGGTGCTGGACTGTGGTATTGTTTATAAACTCTAGATGACTCTGGTATTGGCATACAAAGAAGAACAGCTGATCACAACCACTATGTCACCTTGGCTAAAGTAGTATAACCTGTAATAACGATAGCATGAAGCACAGTCTACAGATGACAGACTGTGGTAACTGTTAATTTGCCCCTTTAACCATAGGTATAAGACTTATATTTATATAATGAAATCTAAAACAAATCAGAAAATTCTACATAGTAAATTTCCCCTTAGTAGACTGCTTGTACCCTCAAGGGAGAAAATTTTAAAATGATAGGAGGAAAAATAGAGAAATAAAAGAAGAGAAAGAGATTAGAAGGAAGGCTGATGGACATTGGAAGATTACTCAGGCTTTGGGAAACTGGTGAAGAAGACAAGAGAGAAAGAAAAAACAAAAAGCAAGAACAAGTACTAAGCCAAACAGAAAAACCAGAAACAGTGCTCGTACTCCTGAAAACACTAAAACAATCAAGAAAAAAACAAAGACAAAGAAAAGTAAAAGAGATTGCCTGTGGTGATCTTCCGGGGTGTTCAGTGTAGTGGTAGTGTCTAATTCAGAGTGTGTCTCCGCTATCACTAATAGAGAAAGGAGCCAGACAGAGCCCAGCTCCCTGCTGGATTCCCAGCAGGCCTGCGTAGGACTAGGGCAGGGTGCTAGGTAATCCAACCAGCCTGTGATAGGCATAAGGCTGGGTGTGGATTCTGTTGCTTTCAACTGCACAAGGCTTCAGGCCAATCCTGGCCCCTGGTTGCGGGATTGGGGCCTGAGTTGTTCAGCCTACAACATACTGGGTGTCTCTTGCCAGCCTGAGCTCATCTCCCTGACCCTGACGTCTCCCGCAGTTGTGCCTCATCCAGTCACTGAGAGTGTTGAGCAGAAGCCAACCCACAGCTGCTGAGTCCTGGGTTCAGTTGGCCCCTCCCTAAAATGATGCCTGGCTAAGCACCCTCTCCAGGAGATGCTTGGACTGGAGTCAGCCACCAGCTGTTGTAGTTCATGGCATCCACTGTTTGGTTCTATGGTGCCTTTCTCTGTGAGGCCTCTGGTGTCACCCGCCCTCATGTCTCTAGATTCGAGCCTCCTCTCTCACGCTGGGATTCAGGGAGAAAGTTCAGCTTGCTCCCTCCTTTTTCTGTGTTGAGGTCCATCTCCTCACTTTTCCTGTGGCTTCAATTCTACCTTCAGATCCTTCCTGCGTCCCAGAGATCCACCTTCCTCCTCATTTTCTTCCCCGAGTTGTTATATTCCAGTGTCTAGATTCCAAACCTCAGAGAGGCTGATGTGCTATTTACTGTTCCACCATCTTCCTGGAAGTGACTGTCTTGCACTTTTTGAAGTCCAAACTCCAAAGTGCGTTTCACTTCACTAAACCAAGGTGATCAGTGGGCAGCCGCAGCACACAATCCATTCTGGCTTCTACAGGCTGCCTGCGCTTGTGACCCCTCCTCTGTCACCAGGGCCAGCTGTAGGGTCTTCTCACTGTGACCCTCCGTCCTCCCTCTTGTAAGGATCTTTGTGTTGGCCTTGAGCCTGCCAGTAATCTTCCTATTTCAAGATCACTGATTTAGCCAAATCAATAAAATTTATTTTGCCATATAAACATTTGCAGGTTTAGGGTTTGGTCATCTTTGGTGGAAGATCATTCTGCCTACCTCAAGCAGCTCTTTATTTATATTATTCCTTAAAAGTGTTGTCCAAAAAGATTTAGCTAAAAACCAGCATTCAGTATTCATGAATAGAATTTGAACCTGATTGTCAGGAATGCTGAAGAGAGTGACCTCTGTGTTTCTTAGTTCATTCTATTATAGAATTTTCAAGAACCTCTCCAAATGCTGATATGCGATTTCTACAGTTATAAACCATTATATTTTTAAGGTTTTAAAAAAAATGTAGAAAGAATTCTGATCAGAAAAACACTTTAAACAAAATTTTGTTGTCTTGATTTTTATAAAATAAATCGAATTTTACACTGTTACATTTTATAAACCTCATTTACTAGACTTAATTTTTCAGGGAAAATAATTTCAATCTGAAATATCAATGACAGTTTTCAAAGCACAAACCCCTGTTCCTGAAACCTGAACAGTGAGGACACCCAAGAAAAGAATTTGACAAAATTTCTGTATAATTACATTTCCCTTTTTAAAAATTGGAAATAGCAGTGGTTTATTTTCTCTTGGCTTTTCCCTAGAAATGATCCTATTATAATTAACAGACATCTCTTTTTTTTTCTATTTGTGTATTTATAGCTTAAGAAATGTATAAAAACTCCAGAAATCCCTTCTAAACATGTCAGGAACTGGGTGCCGAAAGTATTGGAACAACGGCGGCAAGGATTAGAAATGTATTTACAGGTAAGATATGTTTACTCACTTAATATGACTTAAATGATCTGTGCTTACTATTTTTTTCTCAAGACATGAACATGATTCAAGCAGCCAAAGATTCCTTTTTTTGAGATAAGGTCTTGCTATGTAGCGCAGGCTGGCCTTCAATTTACGGCGATCCCCACCCTCCTGCTTCAGCCTCCTGAGTGCTGGGATTACAGGCGTGCAACACCATGCCTGGCAAGATTCTTAATTAAAATAAAGTTTAAATTATAAGTATGTTGTTGATTGATTGGTTTAGCTTTTATTAGGGTTTGTTTTAAATTGGTTTATGTATTTGGGAAGTGAAAATTTAGTGTACGAGACAGAAGTGAAGTAGAGAGGATCTGTCCAGGTTTGTTGTTGTTGCTCCCAGTTGAATACAGGGCATTTGTATTGAGCCCCCGACTGTTTAATTTTTTTTTTTCTTTTACTTTTGAGACAGCATCTGACTCAGTTGCCTATGCTGAGCTCAAAATTGCAGTCCTCCTGCCTTCGCCTCCCAGAGTTCCGGGGTCATAGTCATGTGCCTCCATTTTTAATTTAACTCCACAGATTACTTTGCTTTTATTTATTTTCTCTTCTGGAATGTGTCACTTCTCATAGTAATAGGAGCCTTTTTGTTCGGGGTATTTGCAAGCTGGTTGGGGTAGTGAGAAAAGGTGAGTTCTCAGTGGGCCTGACTAGCATGGCTATAGAGTCACATCGAGAATGTATTTATGAGAGATTGCCAGTGTAAAGGGCCAACTTTTCTGAAACTTAGGACATGTGTTTAAGAAGTGTTCGGAGACTCTTTTCTGCAGCTGAGGAGCAAGCAGAACTACTTGAGATGGTAGTTCCCTCACTAGCTGACAGGAAATGCAAGAGGAAGATAAAACTGAACCAGTTTTGAGTTTGAAAACAAAGCCCAGAGGCCTCAAGTGGATGTCCAATGAAGTTCTAGTGCAGTCCCCAGGGCCCTACTCAGGCAGGTGTAAAGATGGGTAGGCTCATGGTCAGCAGAGACCGCACCTAGGCCCACCAGAAAAGCGGGGACATGAGGATGTTCAGGTAAATGTTCAGGGGTGGATGTCTCACTTCCCAGAACAGAAGAGCTGGACTTCACGTAAGTGGTGAATTCATGCTGGTCCTTCTAAGACAAGTCACATCAAAGAGGTCAGCAGCCACGACTGTTCCGGCCCTAGTCAGCCTTGGTGATAGCCCTAGGCTGGATTCCGTTCAGGAGGGTGTAGAAAACTGTGAAGCCAGCATGCTGCATCCTCAGGTTTGGAATGGTTGCACCTGAATGACTGGTGCTCAGAAGCTGAGGAGAGGGAATCTCCATAGGCCTGAACTGAGTGATAAATTCAGAGGACTTTCTCTGTGGAAAGATGCTGAAGTCTGTCCCCGGTCTCCTAGACAGTATTGTCTTTTTCTTTTCAATCTTCAACTAGGAAAACTATTGTCTGGAGGCTGCTCTGGTGGCCGAGGGGGCCTCTTTGCTGTTTTTCCTCATCTGCTTTGGGGCTTGGTGGAAGGTTTCTTTGTTACTGTCTGTCTTTGGGGTGAAATCTTAAAGGATGCGAGGTTCCCAAATCACAAGAGTGTGTGTGGCCATGTTCCTGGAGACTCCATACAACTATGAGACTTCCATAGCTTCAGGCCACGCTTAAGAGCAAAAAACAAACCAAAAACCAAAAAATGAGACTTCAAAAATTGTATTCAAAGGGTAAAAATGCATGTTCTCTATAATTAAATGGAATAGGTAAACAGTGTATTTTCATTTGTAAGCCAGATTTTCCACAGATATTGTATATCTTCAAGTTTCAGTTCTGAAGAAAGCTTTATTCTTTGCCCCCCATTGTATTTGACACATGACTTCCATTACTAGTCAGTGTAAACATTTTAAGTTGTTTGTACTTTGGATATAAATATGTGGATAAAATCATCTGGCAGAGAGAGGGATTTATAGTGACACTCAAATTGAGCTTAGAATTTTCTCTTCTCAGAAATAGGGCTTGAAAGATATGGTTGAGGTTTGAGAGGCCTTGCTTCCTATTGTGCATTTAGTAGTCAATTTATTGTTACTTAATTCTTTCAGGGCAGCTTTCTCTTTTCCCTTTTCTACCTGATTCTGTCTGCAGGCAGTAGGAGCTGGATGTAGTCACATAGAAAAATGTGAACATTTTATTCATCCCAAGTGAAATGCAAACCCTGGCCAAGCTGTCATTTCTTGATTTTAAGTATTTAGGCTTTTAAAAAATAAGATAGATACACTGCTGTTTCTTCTGCTTTCTTGTCTTAACTTCAGCAGGAACCCCTTTGGCCTTATGGCCTGTCTGAACCCCAGAGAGATGCCAGGACAGGTCCGGCCCCTTTCAGCAGACCTGGCCAGTGCAGCTGCTCTTCAGCTCAGAAATGAAAGCATCCTGTTAATCTTCAAGGTGTCATTTGTAAATATTTTCTTTCTTTTATGATTTAGCATCTCTTTCAATTTCAATGAAATATTCAATTTAAATAATTTTAGTCAAGGGGCTGGGGATTTAGCTCAGCGGTACAGTGCCTGCCTGGCAAGCGCAAGGTCGTGAGTTTGATTCCCAGGTACCAGAAAAAAAAAAAAAAATTTAGTCAAAAATTACTTCTGCGAAGAAGTCAGGATTTGGGGGTAAAAAAAGGATTTAGGAACTTTTCCTAGTGTAAGTTTGAGTGTAGTTGTCTTAGAAATATTGTACATTGCATTTCAAAAGCAACCTTCCAGCAGGTATGGTGGCATGTGTGTGTTGTCCCATTTATATGGAAAGTGGAAATGAGAGGATCATTTGATACCAGGAGTTCAAATCCCATTTATATGGAAAGTGGAAATGAGAGGATCATTTGATACCAGGAGTTCAAAGCCAGCCTGGCCAGCGTGGTGAGACTCCAGCGTGGTGAGACTCCAGCTCAAAAAAAGGAAGGAAAAAAAAGCTACCTTATTTTTAAATTTAAGTATATCACATAAAAGTAGTGTGGAATAACCACAGCACAAATGCAGCATGTAGGTCAGTTCTACTTGGTGACTTTATCTTCAGAGACTTCTGCCAGTTTAGAAAATGGTCATTTCACATACTATACCAATGTAATAGTTGTAGCTGACGACAGTTACCTAGCTGTAGATAGTACTACTTGCCCAGGTATTACAAAAAAAAGATAGAAGTCTCTATAAGTGAATTTTTAATTTTTTTTTTTTTGAGAGAGGGTCTCACTACATAGTTCAGGCTGGCCTTGAACTTACTGTGTTGCTCAGGCTGGCCTTGAATTTGCAGCAATCTTCCTGCCTCAGCCTCCAAAGTGCTTGGATTATAAATATGCGCCACCACACCCAGGTGAATTCTTAATTTTAACATACATTTTTGAACCATTGCCATTTTTTACCTAAGTTTTTGAATGATTGAATTAGAGGTAAATTCTAAGAAAAAAAAATGAAAAATCTTGGTTCTTACAATGTCTTAGAATCAACACCTTTAATCCAGGAGAGGTTAAAAGTTATATTGGTGATTTGACTAATTTGAAGTGTGGAACCTTGATGAACAGTGTACCTTAATTTCACTTTCTAGCATTATTTTCTCTGTGTTGAATAGGGTCCAGTAGCTCGTACTTGTCCTGTTCTTTTAAGCGTCTTTCTCCTTGAGTGAGATACCTGAGAAAAACTCCTGGAAGTTTAACAAGTGAAGAGATTAATCCCCTGTAAAAACAGAATTAAGCAACACTTTCTACAAGAATAGAAGAAAACCAATTAGTTTTTAATCCCAAGTCTGTGCCAAAAAAGGATTTTCCTTCTACAGACTTTCTGTTTTCCAAATTGTATATACAGATGTGCCTTCCTTTATGATGGGGTTATGGCCTGATAAACCCATTGTAATACAAAAATATCAGAAATCAAAATGCACTTTTTCCATCTAGCCTACTGAGCATAGTTCAGCACCACAGCCATACACTGTCAAATGTGGGTTGTATGTACTTGTGATTACAGGGCTGACGAGAGCTGTGGCTGCTACTGCTGGCCAGGTCCGGGGCCAGAGGTACTGGAACCACATCTCTCCCTCTGGGCTCTTGTCCTGTGGGCAGTGGAAGAATGAAGCCAACAGAAAGGCACTGGGTGTGGAACTGGGTGTGGTTTACTACAAAGAAAGAAGAAAGCCCTCCCTAGACAAGGGGGCTCCAGGGAGAACTCAGAGGAAGTGCCTAAATCTCCAGGCTAATGTGCAGCTTTTGGCATACAAAAGGTGCAGACAGATGTGCAAAAATGGAGCTATCCCACTGCTGCAGACAGCTAGCAGTAGATAGTATTAGTCCTCTGTCATCAGATTTGTCATCAAATTTTGCTAGTCCTCTGTCCTTTGCACTGCAGTTAGGCCTTTGTTCTCTGTGCTTCGGTTTTCAAGGCTTATTTTAGTTTACCCAGGCCTTGCCTTTGCCCCTGCACCTCTTGGTCTCAGCACCACATTTGCTACCCCAAGAAAAAGATCACAATTCAAGGTACAGTCGCTACTGAACACCTGTCATTTTCATCCCATTACAAATTTGAGAGTTGGGGTTCATCTGTACTAGAAATTCGTCTACTTTGGGGGATGTTTAACTTGAAGATAAAAAGAAATCTTTAGTTTGCTTAGCGGTAAGCATTCACCAAGTACCTCAGGTGTCTGAGGCAGAAGCATTGATGTAGCTTCAGTGAACCCTTGAATCCTAACCCAAATTAAGTAACTTGGTTATTTTATCCATTTTTCTTGTCTGTTCTCCGTGGTATGAGCTTCCTCTCTGGCCGCTGTAGCACTGCAGAGGGGTTGTACAGTTCCAAAGCTCCTTTTACCACATAATCAGAGCCCAGGGGAGAACAGGGTACCTGTTAGGAGACACAAAGGGAGGAGGAGAAGTGTTTGCCCTGGAAGGCTTCCCTAGCCCTCCTGACTTACATTTGCATACTTGCCCATCTCTGGATTGCACTTAGCCAAAGCCTGCCTCTGAAACTCAGG